GAGAGTTAACCCTTGCAGGACGACTCTTGCACGCACAGGTTAAGTTACTTAACCTGTGCGTGTAAGAGTCGTCCTGCAAGGGTTAACTCTCCCACTTTAGGGAAAGCGAGAAAGTGCAAGCTGCGGGAGACTAAACCACCCCATGCTTGTAAGAGACTCCATGCTGTGGGGAAATCAATTAACCCCCACAGCCTGGAGAAGGAAACTAAACACAATTTGCAAAATCTGCACACTTACTGTGTTCAGTTTTCTTCCCTGTGTTCTGGGGGTTAATTAACTCTCCCACAGCATGGAATGTATACTGTGATCAGCTGTTATTGTACCTCTCAGTGCTGCACTTCAACTTCGGCTGAGACTTATCCCAACTGCTCTGTTTATTACAGAGCTCAGACCCACAGTAAACAAATAATATAACATTGATTAGGATTAAGGTGACAAAAACCCTCCTTTTAAACTAGCTGTAATCCATATTACTGTGGGTCTGAGCTCTGTGATCAACCATTAGTGCATTTGGATTTCGAATGTATGGATTTCATTTGATACAAAATAAATATAAACAAATTTCATCACTAACAAAATAAATTTAGTTTTAGGATGAATCCATTCGTCCAAAACAACATTTTTGTAGTGTGCACATGTCTCCTCACCAGGGTCCTGTGGGCTGGATCTCCTCACAAGGGCTCTGCAGGCCACATCTCATTCTCATCAGAGCTGTGCGGGCTGGGTCTCCTCACCAGGGCTCTGCGGGCTACATGTCATCAGAGCTGTGCGGGCTGGGTCTCCTCACCAGGGCTCTGCGGGCTACATGTCATCAGAGCTGTGCGGGCTGGGTCTCCTCACCAGGGCTCTGCGGGCTACATGTCATCAGAGCTGTGCGGGCTGGGTCTCCTCACCAGGGCTCTGCGGGCTACATGTCATCAGAGCTGTGCGGGCTGGGTCTCCTCACCAGGGCTCTGCGGGCTACATGTCATGAGAGCTGTGCGGCCTGGGTCTCCTCACCAGGGCTCTGCGGGCTACATGTCATCAGAGCTGTGCGGGCTGGGTCTCCTCACCAGGGCTCTGCGGGCTACATGTCATCAGAGCTGTGCGGGCTGGGTCTCCTCACCAGGGCTCTGCGGGCTACATGTCATCAGAGCTGTGCGGGCTGGGTCTCCTCACCAGGGCTCTGCGGGCCACATGTCATCAGAGCCGTGCGGGCTGGGTCTCCTCACCAAGGCTCGGCGGGCCGGGTCTCCTCACCAAGATGCTGCGGGCCGGGTCTCCTCACCAGGGCTCTGCGGGCCACATGTCATCAGAGCTGTGCGGGCTGGGTCTCCTCACCAGGGCTCTGCGGGCCGGGTCTCCTCACCAAGGCTCTGCGGGCTGGGTCTCCTCACCAAGGCTCTGCGGGCCGGGTCTCCTCACCAAGATCCTGCCTGCTGGTCTTGGGACCTTCTAATGTTGGACTCCGATTTCCCAGTTTGAGATTCTGGGTGACGTGGGCACAATGTATCTCCCGATTGGTGGCGGGCAGAGCTTCAGAAGGCATAGTGGATGAACTGCGAGGTTGGGCAAATTAGGCGGCCGCGAGGCCCTTGTGACTGCGAGGCCTAAGGCAACCGCCTAATTTGCCTAATTAAAGAGCCGCCTCTGCCAGCATAGACCAGCATGGATCAGCATGGACCAGCATGGATCAGCATTAGCCAGCATTGGCCAGCATGGACCAGCATGGATCAGCATAGACCAGCACAGACCAGCATGGGCCAGCATAGACCAGCATGGATCAGCATGGGCCAGCATAGACCAGCATGGATCAGCATGGGCCAGCATAGGCCAGCATAGACCAGCATGGGCCAGCATAGGCCAGCATAGACCAGCATGGGCCAGCATAGACCAGCATGGATCAGCATAGACCAGCATAGACCAGCATGGATCAGCATGGATCAGCATGGGCCAGCATAGGCCAGCATAGACCAGCATAGGCCAGCATAGACCAGCATGGATCAGCATAGACCAGCACAGACCAGCATAGACCAGCATGGATCAGCATGGGCCAGCATAGACCAGCATGGATCAGCATGGGCCAGCATAGACCAGCATGGATCAGCATGGGCCAGCATAGGCCAGCATAGACCAGCATGGGCCAGCATAGACCAGCATGGATCAGCATACACCAGCATAGATCGGCATAGACCAGCATGGATCAGCATAGACCAGCATGGATCAGCATAGACCAGCATGGACATGTGTGCAGACCGTCTGTGTCCGGGGTGTACGGCTCTACACCCTCAGATCTGTTTTACCGGCCTACAGCCACAATGAGTTGGACAGGCGGCTGCACACAACACCAGTGCTTCCCGCGTGACTTCCAGGCCAGCCCCATAAAAGCCTCCTCCACACTGTACAGCCCACTGCACCCATATCAATGAGGCCTTATACATAGGGCACCCCAGGCACCTTCTATTGCAATATGAAGATAAGGGGGGTAGACTGAGGGGCAGTTTTTTTTAAGAAGTCCATTACCATACAATGTATCACCCGAGCCTTGAGATCTTCAACCCTTTGTTAGGACAGATAGTGCGCACATCCAGTTTACTGATAATGGAGATCTGCCAGCACAGCACAAATGGTGTTATCATGGTAAACACAACTCCCCAGCCCAGGGGCATAACTACAGGCCATGGGGCCCCATAATAAAATTTGAATAGGGCCCCATGACAAACCTTTTAACCCCTTCATGACTGAGGCCCTTTTTTCAATTTTTGCACCCATGAAATCAAGGTCAGGTATCCGGAGAGCCGTCTGCATAGTCTCTTTCCTGTACATCCCGATATCAACTCTTCTTGATTGCCAGAAGGGGTGCAGGGTCAAAAGCAACTTCAGCAGTTTTTCATGGGGCCCCCTTCCACCCCCCAGGCCCCATAGCAGCCGCATGGGCTGCTAGGGCTATTGTTACGCCCCCAGCCCCCTCCTTAACAATACATAGAAGGGAGAAGCTGAGATTTTACACCAAGTAAAATGGAAGCAGCAATTTTATACTGCAGGTTGTAGCAAATTGAACCCTTGCAGTGGGGCCAGGCCCGTACCGCAAGGGTTAACTGGTCCTTGTGGTCTAGAGGGATAATAAAGAAGATACACTCAGCTGATCATTGGTCCTGTGGCAGTGACTCTCCCCCTCTGCTCAGGCCGTGGGTATGTCCCTCAGCGTCCTCAAGCCTAATAGACCTGCATTAGACGTGATGATATCATGGGTCCATACACCGCTGAGGACTGGGGGAGAAGAGGCTGCGGGGACCGGTCTAGCAGTCAGGGGGGGACTGGGGATCAAGCGAGCATTTCTTCTTTATTATCTCCCCTAGAGAAAATTATGCAGTAACCCGTGAAGTACCAGGGTAGCCCCACTGCAAGGGACAAAAACCAGTGGTTAACCCTTCAAGAGCTCTCATTGCAATGGTCAGGATTTGATTCGTCTGCAGTCCAGCTTCAAGTTATACTATGTGAATGAGAAACACACGACACATAAAACAGGTGCTTTGCCAATTTAGTTGCAGAAGTGGATACACACTTTAAGGATACAGTACTGGATCTGTGTTATTTTTTTTTACACGCACCTAGTGGGGGCCCTCACCCACCTCCTGGCCCCATAGCAGCTACCAGTGGTGACAATATCATGGCTGGGACAGGAAATGAGGGGAAATAAAGGGCTGGACCCCCTGTACAGTCTACATTGCTGTCTGTGCTCTATTGTGCAGATTAACCCCTTCTATGCATGACGCTGACCGTCCATCTGAGAGACAGCAAATGTTAGGAAATGCAAAATTTAAAGTGGAACTTAAACCCTTCATTTAAAATGAATCATCTTGTATTATATCCCCCCCTTCTTACCCCCCACCCCCCACACAGCTCAATCACTTGTCTCTTATATCACATATTCTTTTATTCATTGAAAAGATCTCCATGCATGTCCCTTCTGTCACTTCCATTACTCTGTACCCAAGCTTCCTGACGCAGGTGCACGTTACCTATAGTCATGTGAAAGGGGTGATAGAAATACAGTTCCCGGCATGCAAAGTATATCACCTGAGGTGCACATGTGTGGCAGGAGTGAGAGGAGGATGGACTATGGCGCATCTCGCTGAGCACTCAAGGGCAGGACCAGCAAGGCATGCATAGGCACATAATATTATAGTTTGATGCAGGAACAAGCACCCCCCTGTGTGACACCGCTGCTCCTATTACTGCTCTGGTGTCACCGACCAATAGGAAGAAGGGAAAAGGCCTTCTGTTCAATTAGAAAATCAGTAGTATTGCTGCAGGGAAGACTAACAGTGGTGCAACCAGCATGAAGACATCAATGTAGGAAACATTTTTTTAATTAAAAAATAGCATGTACATACACTTTAAGGGGTGTACTCATACAAAATTCCCCCTATGAAACCGCATGTGCATTCGTTCTGAAGGCAAAAAACAAATGTTCTCAGTCTATTTTCTTTTCGGGTCGAATGTAATATCAGGGAAAATACTGCATTTTGGCCATTAGATGGAGCTGAGGAGCCTAGGATATAATCACTTATTTCTTATGCTCCTTACTGCCATCTAGTGGCCATAATATGTATTTCCTATGCTCTTCAGCTCCATCTAGTGGCCACAATGAAGTACTTTCCCGATATTACATTCAGCCTGGAAAGAAATTATACTAATAACATTCACATTTGCCTCCACAGTATGTAAATGCAGTTTCGCAGGAGGATTGGCTCTGTGAATTTTGTATAAATACACCCCTGAGAGCTGTCACCAAAACAAGAGGTGAGAGTTAATCCAATGGGGACAACTCTTTCCAGTGAAATTGTCTAAGAGAGGAATTCCTTTCACATTGAGGAGATTTCATTCCACTTCCTGTTACACCTCTAAGACAGGAAGTGAAGGTAAATCTCCCCTACGAGACACAGACATGAACAAATAAACCCTTTGCTACTCTATCTAAAAACTCTAGAAATGAAGTGTTGGCCTTACAAACACTTTTAACTAATGAGAACACAGGAGTGGTTGGTATAACTGTCACAACTACTAAAGTCTAGGCCGCAACCTCCACACGGGAAGGACTTTCGGCCAGAATGCCTCTTCTCGTGCCTGGCGCAGCTGGAGCTGCTGCTGAACCTCCGGTCGCATATGACGCAAGCGTAGGGCTGGTCCCCCGTATGAGCTCTCTGGTGTAAAATGAGGTTGGAGCTGCTGCTGAAGGACTTCTTGCAATGAGAGCAGGAGTAAGGCTTCTCTCCCGAGTGGATTCTTTGGTGGGAAGCCAAATGGGCGCTTCTTGCGAATCCTCGCCCACATTCCGAACAAGTAAAAACCTTCTCCCCTGCTGTTACCGTCCTATGGGACACCACCTGCGAGTCGTGACTAAAGGTTTGGCCGCTGTCTTTGGCCATGTAGGGATGTCCGGCAAAGTGGGTCTTCATATGGGTGGCAAGGTTGGAGCTTTGAGTAAAGGAGTTCCCGCACACCTTGCAGATATAAGGTCTCTGCCCCGTGTGGGTCCTCTCGTGTTTGGTCAGGTGTGACTGCAGCCTGAAGCGTTTGTCGCATACAGTGCAGGCCCAGGGCTTGTCCTTCATGTGGGCCTCCTTGTGTAGATTAAAACTAGTCCGGTCGGGGAAGGCCTCGCCACACTCGCCGCAGACGTTCCTGTCATCCTCGGCGTGGTTCTTCTGGTGTTTGCGGTAGCCCGAGCGGGTGTAGAAAGTCTTGTCACACTTGTTGCATTTGTAGATGGTCTCGGTCATCAAGGTGATGTTCCCTGCTGAATCTATGGTGCTTCTTTCCCTTGCAATGGATTTCTCCGGGGAAGTCCTATCAGATGTCCGAGGTCTATAGGCTCTCCGCCCACGTTCTGAGGGTAGATGGTTAAGGTTTGATTGTGGCGTTTGTCCATGGGAACTGATGGGGTGAATGTCTTCATACAACTCGACTTTTGTTACTTCTTCACCTGTTCAATAGAAAGATGCATAATAAGAATATTAAAGCTTATCTCCATGAACTCCCTCCCCCACTAACGTTAAACCCCGCCTTCCTCTAATGCAGGGGTGCCCATTAGGTCGATCGCAATCCTCCAGTCGCAATTGGCTCACTGACCAGAGCTCCCTCCCGCGGTACTAGTGCGGCTGAATGGGTCAGACGGTGCAGAAGGGAAGGGGCGGGACACCTCTCACCATCTGTAGCGTCGGCCACAGTATCACCAGTGCGGGTGGCGGGATGTCCCTCCCAGTCTGTAGCGTCGGACACATTCAGCCACACGAGCACCGCAGGAGGACAGGACAGCGGACATAAGAGGAGACCTGGGAAGCTGCTGCAGTGCAGGTAAGGAAAGACAGCCAGGAGAGAGAAGAGACAGCCAGAGGAGAGAGGGAAGAGACTGCAGAGAGAGAGAGAGGAGACAGCAGAGAGAGAAGAGAAAGCAGAGAGAACGAGACAGGGGAGAGAAAGAAGAGACAGCCAGAGGAGAGATGGAAGAGACTGCAGAGAGAGAGGGGGGAGACAGCAGAGAGATAAGAGAAAGCGGAGAGAGAGAGAGAGAAAGAAAGAAGAGACACCAGAGAGAGAAGAGACAGCAGAGAGAACGAGACAGGGGAGAGAGCGATTAGAGAGAGAGAAGAGACAGCTGAGAGAGACAGCAGAGAGAGAGAGGAGAGAGAGATACAGGGGAGAGAGCGAATAGAGAGAGAGAGAGAGAGAGAAGAGACAGCTGAGAGAGAGGAGAGAGAGATACAGGGGAGAGCGGGACGAGAGAGAGGCAGTAGTCCCAGTAACAATTTTAATGTGCTTGTTTTTTCCATAAAGGTGATTTTTCGTTGGTAGATCTCATTGAACTCGTCATTTGAAAAGTAGATCTCAAGACAGAAAAATTGTGAGCAGAATATACCAAAAGCCATATTTACTCACCTAAATTTTTGGTCACTTGATGCGTCAGTTCCCAAGCAATCTCTTCCTCACTGCGGGGTGGGAGGGTTCTTCTTTAGGTACCCACATCACTGCCTGAACGATGTGAACACTTCCCACTGGCTGTCAAGTAGTGGGGTCGTCTCAGACTATAGAAGACTGCAGCAGTGTAATGAATTCATGATAGAGGTGGCAATACGATTGGTCAATGGTGTGTCCAGTCTACAGCACTGGTTCATCAATCTCCACTCCCTAAAGAGGCACCATGGGGGGGGGAGGGGGGGTGTCACGTGACAGAGGTGTCAGGTGAGTAAAAAGGGGTTTTAAGCTATCTTTTATAGTGTAAATGGATGGTGGTGGACTCTAAAGTCTATCTCCAGCCAAAACTTTTGATTTGATTTTGACCAGAGCTCTGCCGGGCTTGGACTGCTGTATGTGGAATATATGACTTATGGTCATTAAACTAGGCATCCAAAATGTTGCTGATGTGCAGTGGGGCTTTCCAGGGTTAAACTGGCCCTGGGTTTAGTTCAGTTGAATGTTCTCCAAACTCAGCAAAAAATGCAGGTTTGGTGAACAGCTACACAAACCAAACCCAGGGCCACCCCTGTCCTGGCAACCAGTGACACTATTCAACCCTCACAGTGTCATTGGTTTCTAGGAAGAGGGAAAGCAGGTGCACCATAACAACTAATGATGCTGTAGGACCACCAGCATGTTAGCAACTATTGAGACTGTGTGGCTTAACTACCAGTCAACCAATGACATGTGGGGCTCAACCACCAGTCAACCAATGACATGTGTGGCTCAACCACCAGTCAACCAATGACACTGTGCGGCTTAACCACCAGTCAACCAATGACACTGTAAGGCTTAACTACCAGTCAACCAATGGCACTACGTGGCTCAACTACCAGTCAACCAATGGCACTGTGTGGCTCAACTACCAGTCAACCAATGGCACTGTGTGGCTCAACTACCAGTCAACCAATGACACTGTTTGGCTCAACTACCAGTCAACCAATGACACTGTTTGGCTCAACTACCAGTCAACCAATGGCACTACGTGGCTCAACTACCAGTCAACCAATGGCACTGTGTGGCTCAACTACCAGTCAACCAATGGTACTGTGTGGCTCAACTACCAGTCAACCAATGACACTGTGTGGCTCAACTACCAGTCAACCAATGGCACTGTGTGGCTCAACTACCAGTCAACCAATGACACTGTGTGGCTCAACTACCAGTCAACCAATGACACTGTGTAGCCCACACGATATCGTTGGTCGCTTGGTCACAGATGGAGGTTCAGTGGGCCGATGAACTGGCTAAACTTGTTTGCTTGTTCTGCGAACTACGAACAGCTTGGGTTCAGATAAAAGTCTGGATGATCTCTAATGAAAAACAGAGGTTGGCTGCAGAGCAGTGTGATCTTATTCCACCAATGAGAACTAGAGGCGGGATTTAGGATTAATAATGTAAACGTCTAGGTAGTGTTACCATGCATATGTAGAGGTTGTACTGGATAGAGCGGGGACTGTTTCCCTCATTGCTGTCTGTGTCCCACTTTTCACTTCCTGTCCTAGTGGCAGCTGATTACAGGAACAGGAAGTGATGGGAAATCTCTCCAGGAAAGACACTACACTTTAAGCCGGAAAGCTGTACTGCACCTCCCACTGGTACATCAGCAAAAGTCCTTATTTTTACCACCTAAATACGGAGCAAGAAGATTAACTTACCTGTACTTAACTTTCTGTTAAAACTGTTTGTTGGGGAATACACATCCCAGATGTCTTCTGATTTGATCTCAGACAGGTGCTGCAAATCTGCTGGGCCCAACCTTAAAAAAAGATAAATACATAAAAGATCACCATTGGCATGTTGATAGGCAGGAGCAGCCATACCATTCGTTCAGACTGTGCAGTTGAACAAGGGCCCTCTGAGATTTGGGGTCCCTTTATAGTACAGGTGGGTGGGGTGGAAGACAGGGCCATCCAATAGTAAGGTAGATTAATGTCTTGCTATCATTGTCACAACAACTAATACAGTCATTGGCAGTACACAGAGCATACAGGACAGGACACCCACATTGCTCTATACAATTGGTTTCTAAGACTTTGCAACCTTTAATAGGTACGGATCTAAAAGTGGGAATTGGATTCACGTGTTTAGGAGATTTTCGGGCATTGAAGAAGGAAAATGGAGAAGCCAAGTGGAATTTCTGAGATTGATATTTTCCGTGTATAGACATGAAGACATGTTTGTAGGTTTTCCGGCACAATAGGTCTGTGTGTTTTGCATTGATTAGAACACTCTTTGCCACCAGAAAATGGACAGAGATGGACGTCCTGAGTACCACCTACGACTGGGGAGCAGATGGAGAAGGTAAAATTTTATGTACAGATGAAGAAAAGACCTCTTTAAAAAGGGAATGTGTGTAAATGTGATAAGATCTGCAAGCACTGGTTAGAATCTCCGGTCCTGGTTCCATTGGACCTATTGAATGGCCAGTTGTCGGTGGGACCTCACGCAGGATAGGGAAAGGATAGGACTCCTCCTGATATCACCCCTTGTCTTATCTCCACTTATAGTATTGATTTTTGTTTGTATTTTTAACATTTTTATTTAAATACAATTAAAATTGAAGTTAAATTAAAGGACAGCTGCACAAAGACCCACCAATAATTGGGGTGCCCTTATACTACATGAGGAGGAAGCTAGGACCCTCTGATTGTGACACTGATCGCTTCTATGAAGTGTGAGGAGTGGGAGCAATTATAACTGATGCCCCAACTGCTCTACTTTGTGATATCCAAGTGGTGTCCGGCCAAGAGCAACTCCTTCACGTCCTGCCTGGCCAAGATCGGGACACACAGAATGCTTCTCCACCATTTGGAATGGGATGAAAGTGAGGGTGGGCTGTCTGATCCCAATGTTATGAACCAAGAGAGAGTTCAGGAACTACAAAGGGTACTCTGTCTGTCTGTCTGTCTGTCTGTCTGTCTGTCTGTCTGTCTGTCTGTCTGTCTGTCTATCTATCTATCTATCTATCTATCTATCTATCTCTATGATGGATTTGGATGGGGAGGCCCACACATTTTTCATGCATTGGACCCTTTGGAGACTAAGTCCACCACTGGATCGTAGTAAGCCTGCCTGACAAGGACTGTCATATATACAGTATGTGTTCAGCCCGCACCACTAAGATTCTGCCCTCCTTCCTTCCAGACTTGTCAGTAAATGGGATATTACTGTTACATATCTTCCCGGGGCTCGGATTTTGGTGTGGGTTTGATCTGTAAATCCCTTAAAAGGTTTTGACTCTGCATATGATTTCCGAGTTCATGGATATCTCTGTCAGATGTTATTGGCCATTGTATAGAGTTCCTATAGGTATGATTATACTTCTGCTGTGCTTTGTTCCTTCCAATGGTTTTCTTTCTTTCAGCTTCCTATAAGACATTCTTACCAGCAGACGTCGGAGTCTGATGAACTCTCGTCCAGGATGGTACAGTGCGACACCCCCGCCATCCTTCACCGAGTCATAGATGGAAATCCTGCTGAAAGGAGACGGCCAGTTATTGAACACTGCTATCAGAATCATTGGAGGAAAGTACAACAAGTCTAGAATATATAAAGATACATTGTATATATGGACAACTCCTACTAGGGATGTCCCTATATCGATACTTGTATCGGGGCCGATACCATACATTTTCACGAGTACTTGTACTCGAGAAAATGCCCCGATTCTTAAGGCTGATACCGGCCCTTGAAATGTTCAAACATCAGTGGCTATCCCGCGCTTGTGGGGACCTCGGCAGCCTGCTGGGGACTTGTAGATAGCTGTCCATGGCAGTGCCTGTCCGGTTCTCTTTCTCCTCCTCCTCCTTCCCGGCACAGGCATGGACAGCCCCGGGGCGGAACTATTGCCCAAGGGCTAGAAGCTGGGGTTCCCGTTGCACACTGACGGGGAGGACTGGGCCGGGAGATGAACGAAGGTGAGGGTGCCCAGCAGCCCAGATAGTCGGACGGACTGGACATGGGGGAGGCAGGGTCCCGACTTTGCCGGTGAGGTGGAGTGCCCGCAGAGCCACTGCAGATGTCCACGTCACCCGGGCGAGATCGACACACATCCTGGTGAGAGGAATTCTGCTATGGGGACATGTGTTCTGCTTTGGTATCATGTATCTTGCTTTGTTGACATGTATTTTCAGAATACATGTCCCCAAAGCAGAATACTTTTCTGCCTTGGGGACATGTGTTCTGCTGTGGGGACATGTATTCAATTCTGGTGACATCTGTATTTAGCCCTGGTGAGAAATTGCCCTAAAATCATCAGTCTGTGTTGTTTTAGAAAAAAATGTCACATGTCCCTTTAAGAAAAAGTATCAGTAATTGGTATCGGCAAGTACATGAGGGGCAGTACTTGTATTTGGTCTTGGTATGAAAAAAGTGGTATCGGGACATCCCTAATTCCTACTATCAGCATTACTGGAGGAACGTACGACAATTGTAGAATATATAAAGATACATTGTATACAGTATATAATAATGGATATTTCCTACTGTCAGCTCCAATACAAAATATACCGCAGGCACCTCCAATCCTACTATCATTGGAAGAAGGTACAACAATTCTAGAATATATAAAGATACATTGTACATATGGTAATGGGTACTTCCTACAATCAGCATCATTGGAGGAAGGTACCCCAATCCCATAAGCCATGTTGTATCTGAACACTGTGTACTGGGTCCGCCATTGATAGAAGCAGGACAAGGTTGGGTGAGATGTTGGCTTCAATCATCATCCACTCACTGAGCAGGAAAACTTACTATTTGGAGGGGAATTCCAGTTCACGCTTTTATCAAAAACATACATTTCCACTTAGTTAAAGGAGAACTATAGGGTCAGTGTTTTTCCCCATAGTTCTCCTTAGGGTAACGGGAGGACACAAACTAGCGTCCTCCCGTCACCCTAAGCTCAGTATATAGCGAGCTGCTGCTCGCGGTATACTGAGACGCCGCAGCTGAAGCGGATCCGCCCAGCTGCGTGAGTGACAGCTGGCTCTGCCTATCTAGAGGCAGAGCCAGCTGTACCCGCCCCCTCCCCGTGCGTTCCGCCAGTCAGCGCTGGAGGAACGGAGCGGGGAGGGGGGAATCCAGTCCCTCCCCTGTCACGGCAGAGAGCCGTGACAGGATTGAGAGGTGAGCGAATGCCGGTATGTGTTCACTCACCTCCCGATCTACTGAGCCGACCTGTGACAGTCTCATTGTCACAGGTCGGCTAGAACTATGAGGTGAGTGAAAAGCCCCTCCCCCCTCATAGTTCTCCTTTAAGTATGTGGTAAAAGAATCCTTGTCAGGTGTGTAACCGGCATTCCCCTGAAAGAAGAGGGATCGTACAAGGATAAGAGACCTCAGCTGTGGTGAAACTACATCACCCATCGTGTCTCTGGGAGTCAGGCCTGTGGCTTTCAGAGTCTTGCAGTGTCTCATGGGGCTTGTTGTTCCATAACGCTTGGTTGCTCACCCAGGGCCGGATTTACTCTCTCTGCTGCCCCAAGGCCATGTTTCTCAATGCACCCCCCTACCTGACAACCACCCCATGGAGAATGGCAGACCTGCAGGCTGCATACAAGTGATCTCATCTCAGTGACATCGCCGGGATCACTTGTACAAAACAAGCAGTGGCTCCCCCGCTATACATTTAGCTCTGCCTGCCCAGAGCAGGGCTAAATGTAGAAAACAACTACCTGCCCGGTGCCCGGAACTGCATGTACCAGGCATCTGGAGATAGGAATTCCATACCCCTGCTGCCCCTCTACTCCCTGCTGCCCCCGAGGCCGGGCCTTGGTTGGCCATGTGGGAAATTAGGCCCTGTGCCCACACTTGGTTATAGACGTCTCTCTGGCTGCCCATGCCTCCTTCCTGTTGCAGCATCCTTCCACATTTGACACTTCCGGGACTGTCAGGTGCAGGTGTCCCCTGTGCGTGCTGTGGTTCCTTCCCCGGAATCTAATGTCACTTCTGTACCTTGTAGTGATGTAAGGGTTGGAATGGGGAAACCGAAACCACAGCCTTCAACTGGCATTCAACCTACCTGGAAGTTTTGGATGCCGAAGAGTCTGATGGAGGCTGGAACGGAGGCTGGAAAGCTAGGAGACACGGGGCTATGGAAAAGTGAACATAATCCCTCTTCTTCCAGTTTTATTTATTTAGAGACCTGACATGGTCTGTATAAAGGGGGCGAAGTGACAGGTTCTCTTTAGGAAGCAACCCCCCCC